AATTACTACAGAGTAAAACAGCAAGTAAACAAAACTGACATTAATTACTACAAAGTAAAACAGCAAGTAAACAAAACTGACATTAATTACTACAAAGTAAAACAGCAGGTAAACAAAACTGACATTAATTACTACAAAGTAAAACAGCAAGAAAACAAAACTGACATTAATTACTACAAAGTAAAATAGCAAGTAAACAAAACTGACATTAATTACTACAAAGTAAAACAGCAAGTAAACAAAACTGACATTAATTACTACAAAGTAAAACAGCAAGTAAACAAAACTAACATTAATTACTACAAAGTAAAACAGCAAGTAAACAAAACTAACATTACTTACTACAAAGTAAAACAGCAAGTAAAGAAAACTGACAATGAAAAAATATCACATCATGATTACAAAACAATTATGCAACAGTAACAATGGAAAAAAATAAGAAGTATAAAACTTAAAACAAGAAAGAAACATTGTCAACAGATGGAGCACAACAGATCATATCAATATTAAAACAACAGAAAGGGCTTGAAATCTTTTTAAGGTGGCCAAAATGGACCACCAACAGTTAAAATGGTTTCATACCAATCTTGATCAGTTAGTAACAATTCAATATAAGTTTTTCTGCTCAACCATACAGAATTTTCTTCATACTCTTAAACAACCGTGTTAGTCTTTCCTACTTCTTACCTGGAGGACAGTGGCAGAAATATTTGTTGACTCCATCTTCACACGTGCCATGATTTAAACACGGGTTGCTTGCACATTCATTGACATCTGAGAGACAGCGTACTCTTAAACAACCGTGTTAGTCTTTCAGGTAGATATCATAACAGTTACTTACAATTAAATGTCGTACTTCTTACCTGGAGGACAGTGGCAGAAATATTTGTTGACTCCATCTTCACACGTGCCATGATTTAAACACGGGTTGCTTGCACATTCATTGACATCTGAGAGACAGCGAGCATCAAAATATCCTCTTGGACAGTCACACTTAAATCCGTTAGGAAGATCTACACATTTTCCTCCATTCGCACAGGGGCTGCTTGCACATTCGTCTATGTTGGTCTCACAGTGGACACCTGATCAAAGTGAAAAAAATATTTATTCTACAAAGTATTCTCCCATTTTCTACTTATCGGGAATCCATAACTTTGTTTTATAATATTCCAGTTGGAATATTTCTAAAATAGGATACAACATCAACATAAAGTTTATTTAGAAGCTGTTCTTCTCCACTCAGAAATACCTGTAGTGGTTAAAACATAAACTGTCATATTTAACAGAGAACTTACAAGGATTGAAAATACATATATAAGTATTTCCCTCAAAATGTCTCAAATAATTAAAAATTTATTTTTAATAATATATGTGTTGATTTATAAGCAGCCTTATACGAAACAAGCTATCAATACTGAATAAAACTCTCACCAGTAAAACCGAGAGCACATCTACAAGTGTATGAGTTAATTCTATCTTCACAGGTAGCTCCATTTCGACAAGGATTGGAAAAGCATTCATTCACATCATGCTCACAGTCCGGTCCAAACGTCCCAGGTCGACAGCGACACTGGTAACCATTGATAAGATCCTCGCAAAGACCGTCATGTTGACAGGGGTTACTGACACACTCGTTGATCTGAGTCTGACAAAGAAAGCCTGTATAGCCAGGGTTACAGTTACAGTTATAAGTGTTGATCCCATCCACACACTCTCCATGATGGCACGGCGAGGAGTGACAGTCATTGATATTAGTGTCACAAGTTGGTCCTGTAAAACCTGGGAACAAAGAAAATACAAATACCTGAAATATATAATTATCACTGAATAATCATTCATATGAATCAAACTCACAAAAAAGAAACCTATAGTTCTACAGGTATTTGAAGAACTTGTAGCATTTCAACACAATTTAATTCTTCGTATTGTTAGTGGTGGTAGTGTCCAGGGTCACTGATGAGGAGTGGAATTCTCCGAAACTGGTCTGGCTCACACCCCAATGAAAGAATAGACCATTCCAAGGTTTTACTTGTTGTTAAACATATGTTTAAACAACTCTATTTATATGAATGTTTATATTCCTTAGATTGGTTGTTTGTTTTTAAGCAAGAACTACACATTGGGCCACACGTGCTCTGCTCGCCATGAGTGTCAAAGCCTGCTTTCTAGCATCATAAGTCTGAAGACTTACCGCTTATCCAACGGAGGGATTATCTCTTAGAACATACAATAGTCTGTTTCAAAGTTCATATGGTCAAACTATTAATTACTATTTGTAAGTTCTGAAACAATGTATGTATTAAATGCTTAGATAAAACAAATAGTGTATTCAGAGTCAGACTACGGATTAGAAATACCCTGGAACAATAATTTATAAAACTGGTCCTCCAACGAGGCTGGGGGATTCCTGAAAAAAACTGAACAGGATGCTGTATAGTCTATAATATGTATTAGTACTGTTCATGGAGTTCACAAATTAAACAATTATACAATGTACAAAATGTTTCATTTCCAATCCCATATTTATTACCAGTTTTACTAAGCTACAGACCTATATGACCATAAAATTACACAAACTGAAATTGATTCACATAAAAAGAATTTTACAAGAGTAATTTAATTACTGATTTTTCTCTCATGTGTGTTACATCTATGCCCCACTAAAGTTGGATAGAGAGCTTCTTTACAAAACATTTAGTGAAATATGATGAACAAAAAAAACACAAAGTAATGGCATTTGGTTCTCATTATTTGGATTACATGTTTAAAAAGGGAAGCACAGAGTAACGGCATTTGATTCTCATTATTTGGATTACATGTTTAAAAAGGGAAGCACAGAGTAACGGCATTTGATTCTCATTATTTGGATTACATGTTTAAAAGGGAAGCACAAAGTAACAGCATTTGGTTCTCATTATTTGGATTACATGTTTAAAAGGGAAGCACAGAGTAACAGCATTTGATTCTCATTATTTGGATTACATGTTTAAAAGGGAAGCACAAAGTAAAAGCATTTGGTTTTCATTCTTTGGATTACATGTTTAAAAGGGAAGCACAGAGTAACAGCATTTGGTTCTCATTATTTGGATTACATGTTTAAAAGGGAAGCACAGAGTAACAGCATTTGGTTTTCATTATTTGGATTACATGTTTAATACAGTTGGGCACCACATGCCACTGAGGAAGTGCTCTGTTGCTACCAGTAAAGTTAGCAGAATGTTAGGGTGTACTTACAAACATATTGATTACAAGACAAGAGTTTAATTACCCACAAAAATCATCAGTTATGCCTAACTTCGACTCAGTCTTGTTATCTACTACAGAATATTGGTTTAATGGTAAAAGTTCAATAGTGGGCTACAAAGATGATATTGGGATTGGAAACGTTATGAGATCATTCAAGATATTTTATTTTCTCTTGGAAAAGAAGGTTAAGAGGTGATGTAACTGAAGAATATCTGGGGGATTAATAGGGTATAGGCCCCTGATTTCTTAGTGCTATGTTTTGAAGATAGCAAGGTGTGTGTACATACGTTTAAGGTTTAGAATAGATAGGCTTGGCTCTATTTGTTTTTCTAACAAGGCAACTGAATTGTAGAATGGGTTTCCTTGAGTAGTAGTGGAGGTCAGTTCTTTACAAGACTTACCACAAACAGTAGTGGAGGTCAGTTCTTTACAAGACTTACCACAAACAGTAGTGGAGGTCAGTTCTTTACAAGACTTACCACAAACAGTAGTGGAGGTCAGTACTTTACAAAACTTACCACAAACAGTAGTGGAGGTCAGTACTTTACAAAACTTACCATGGACAGTAGTGGAGGTCAGTACTTTACAAACTTACCACGGACAGTAGTGGAGGTCAGTACTTTACAAAACTTACCACAAACAGTAGTGGAGGTCAGTTCTTTACAAGACTTACCACAAACAGTAGTGGAGGTCAGTACTTTACAAAACTTACCACAGACAGTAGTGGAGGTCAGTACTTTACAAAACTTACCACAAACAGTAGTGGAGGTCAGTACTTTACAAAATTTACCATGGACAGTAGTGGAGGTCAGTACTTTACAAAACTTACCATGGACAGTAGTGGAGGTCAGTACTTTACAAAACTTACAACGGACAGTAGTGGAGGTCAGTACTTTACAAAACTTACCATGGACAGTAGTGGAGGTCAGTACTTTACAAGACTTTCCACGGACAGTAATGAAGGTCAGTAATTTACAAAACTTACCATGGACAGTAATGAAGGTCAATACTTTACAAGACTTACCATGGACAGTAATGAAGGTCAGTACCTTACAAGACTTACAATGGATAGTAATGAGGTTCAGTACTTTACAAGACTTTACCATGGACAGTAATGAAGGCCAAGACTTACCATGGACAGTAATGAAGGTCAGTACTTTACAAGAGTTTAAGGGGCCAATCAAGAATTTCCCGTTAAATAGAGGGTGGGTTTAAAATTTTACTTTTCTCAGAGATGGATGTGTAGGGACAAAACTGGAGGATCAAGTATCCCCTTCGATGACGAGGAACCCACTTTGAGACTGGTACTGATGATGACAAAACCTTGTCGAAACGTTGTACATTTGCTGATATGTTAAACTTATATTAAAGTTTTTCTTCATTACCCATTCAAGCCGTCTCCAGCCATTACAAGTATCCCCTTATTGTCTATATTTTAGGTGGAATCACAGGTAGACCCACGGATCCAAATAATGGGATCGAGTGTAGTATTGATGGTATCTTTATTTCTCTTGTATATATTTTAAGGGACCAGCAAAGTGACGGATCCACAAATATAAATAATTGACGGAAAAATAAGTTTCAAAATTTCAATATAGAGAAAAATATTAACACGACAACAGTGACACCTATATAGCAGTGGAATAAGGCTTAACGTGAGTTAAACTTATTTATTATTCATTGCAGTTTTGCTTTCAAAACCTATCCTATCTGTATAAATAGTGTCAGTTTCCTATTTCGTATAAAGTTCTACATTTTTTAGAACATAAGTAATTATAAAACTTTTAAGTATTTCATATAATCGTCTTTAAAAAACTTAAACGCAACGTTAACCTTTATATTAAATTCAACGTATATGCTAATCTGTTTTTTTTTCTTTCTATTATACTTCTCTTACCTGGCCTCATGGGTGAAATTTTCAAAGCTCACTAGCGACATCTTTTGATGGATATATTAATGAATATATATAAAGATGCAAATAATTGCATTGGTAATCTATTCTTAGGAAGCAAGCACTTTAAATGCGTATGAAAACAACCATACAGCTCAAAACGTTAGGCACAGAGGTTTAAAGGCTTAACAATGGATACAGATAACTCTTGAAACATACTACAGATTCTGGTCTGCAAGACTTATTTTTTTAAACACAAGTACCCCTATCTAGCTAACCCTAACTTCTTACCTGGTGGGCAGTTACAAGCGAAACTTCCTATACCGTCAACACAGGTAGCGCCATTTCGGCAAGGTTGACTAAGGCAGTCGTCGTCATTCAATTCGCACTTCCTTCCAGAAAATCCGATTGGACAGAGACATCTGAAACTGTTGATCCTATCACTACATATTCCCCCGTTACTGCAGGGGTTTGGAGTGCATTCATCAACATCTAACTCACAGCGTTTTCCACTGTAGCCTGTAAAACAGAATTAGTGACGTTACATATTTACTTTAAATTACGTGAATATTTTAGTACTCTTTCTTAATATCCTGCACTGGAATTGATGTGTTTAGAAACAGAACCTACACTTGCGCCATCTAGTAGCAAACACGCATATTAGGGTTACATGTCTTTATTTTGCAGCCTAATAGGCCATTATTGCATCTACCTGGTATAGCTGGTTCTCTTGACGTGAAGGTAGCGTCAGGATTCATAACAAACCTATTGTTCCTTACTGAACCACACGACAGAAAAATTTGTTATTCCGACCACTTTAATCAGAATATATTTTTCAGTTTTCTTATGAACTGATTTAGGCTTAATTTTTAAGTAAAATTACTTCTTGTTTTATCAGTTCTTAGTAATTACAAATACACCCCTGGCTTGCAGGACTCCAGCTGGCATTGTATTATGATCAGTAAATACATCCCTGGCTTACAGAACTCCAGCTGGCATTGTATTATGATCAGTAAATACATCCCTGGCTTACAGAACTCCAGCTGGCGAGTATTATGATCAGTAAATACACCCTGGCTTACAGAACTCCAGCTAGCAAGTATTATGATAAGTAAATACAACCCTGGCTTACAGAACTCCAGCTGGCGAGTACTATGATCAGTAAATACAACCCTGGCTTACAGAACTCCAGCTAGCAAGTTTTATGATCAGTAAATACACACCTGGCTTACATAACTTCAGCTAGCAAGTTTTATGATCAGTAAATACAACCCTGGCTTACAGAACTCCAGCTAGCAAGTTTTATGATCAGTAAATACACACCTGGCTTAC